TTTCATCCCATGGGTCAGGGCTGCTTAAGCAACTGCGGCTCAAGGTCTTTTACGTCCAGCAATTCTTTCTGGAATTGCAGTATGAAGCTTCTTAATGACTCTCTCGAATCCTGTCTTATCTTTAGCAGGACTTGCAAGTTTTTGCGGGGTCACTAGCCAATGGCAAATTGTGCAATGAACATTCGTTTGAAGTTAGTGAAGGAGGTGATCACCTCACTAGGTAGGAGAGTTAACCACCTTAACGTCGAATTCCTCAGAGTAGTGAAGATCATACGACACCGATGCGCGTCGTCGATGTCAAGGAGGGAAGTTTAAATTCAAAAGTCATCACATGATCTATACTCAAGTAAGCTTTGAGGTGAGGCACCTTGAACTTGGGAGCTACTCTTGCTTTGGAGACTGGTCTATAAAAGTCATTTGTCAGCCTTGGTTCAGTTTCTTTGGTTCATCTGGTTGAGGACTTTTCATCCCTCACCTGGGGGCAAGTGACGTTGGCAGTTGAATCTGAAGCATGAGCTTATTCCGGAGGCTCGCGACGAGCACCAGGATCGGATGGCCCTTCAAGTAGGTTGATCGTTTGCGATGGATGGTTAGCGGCGATGAGGATATCTTGAATAGAGTTCAAGAGAAGCTCCTCCATTCCTAGCAGTCCACGGTGAGTGGTATATGCAGGGTTCATTGAATTCTCCGAGGCTTCAGGTTACTCATTAGATAATGATTTGTTTTCCTTCGTCATCCTCCATGCTCACCGCACCTGAGAGGATGTTGAATCTCATTTTGTTCAGTGAGATGATACCAAACCGTACTTTGTGTTACTTGTGAGCTGAGGGTCTGTGAGTTGAATGTAATGAGATTTGAATATAAGAGAGGAAAATGAGGGTGACCCGAGAGAGAAATAGATTTAGACAAAATCTTTATTATCCAAGCCAGTTATATAAGCATAATCAAAGCGAGAGCTCTACTCTATCGAGCTCGAGCAAAAAGAAAAAAAATAATACATTATTTCCTAGATCTGATCACGTATAGGTGTGATCTCTCTCGTTTTTCTCTCTATTGTCCTCTATTCTTATGAATGTTTCCGTGGGAAAAAAGTCATTTTTTCCTGTCGTTCCTCCTCCTTTTATAGGGTTCAAAAGGATGTAGAGATTATATCCTAGATATGGGAGTTGTCACATCAGTCTTTTATTATAAGTCACTCGTTGGTTCCGAGTAGAATGATGGTTGAGAAGAGCGAGCAAAGTAATGTCCAATGATGATATGGGGTCGCCCCCGCTGCATGGATGAGTAGCATCTAGGCATAGTCCTCTGATTGACGTGAGAGATTTTTGAAGAGGCGATACATGTCGTTCGTTGTTTGATGTATTTTGCATAGGATACTTGATTCTAGCTTAGATGGATAAAGATCTATTTGTTCACGAGAGGAACTTATGAGATCGCCCTCGCCCAATGGGGGAACGACTGCTAGGAGGATGTGGCTAGTGCTAGTCCGCCGTGGTCCAGTGTTAAGCTCATTCCAGCTCCTGAGCGAGTCCCTCAAACAAACTGTTCTGAAAGAAAAGTGGTTCCTCCTTCTGCTCGACCCGAACATGACCTGCAAGACACCTATGAACGGGTACCTGCACAGAAAGTCATGGGCGTACAGATAACATGGCCCAATATGCATGATTTTAACTCCAATCTTGATGCCTGTGCCTCACAACTTCCCCTAAAGAGAGTCTTGATTACATGTATTAGTTATGGTGTCACATCAACATCATACCATCATAAATTCTCGACAGATATATCAAGGAGTGTTGGGAGAGGAAAAGGATTAGCCTATTTAGAAACCTCTTTGGCAAACCTTTTTAAGTCAAAACCTCTTAAAGTATGCTTCTTTAGTGAGAACCATAAAGAGAATAAGCTTAGCCTCTCAAATCAGATAAGCAAACAGAGATAAAAAGTGAGAGACTCTCTGAAGTTAGAAAGCTAGAGAGGGGAGTTCAAGGAAGCATCATCTTCCACCTTGACATTTGTATATTTATTTTAATAATGAAACTTATTTCTTGCACAGAAAATAAAATCCATATTATTCTTTCACTTCATTGATGCCCGACTGACGTGTCTGTTTGATCTTTTCGATTTCAAGCTAGCAGTAACATATCAAGTTGTCAGCGTCAAAATGCTTGGTTCTAAGAGAACTTCGATGATGGCATTGACAAATAGAAGCTATAAAAAGATGGGATAATCTTTCTTGAACCTAAATACTTCAGAAGCAACGGACAGTCAAGATATCAACATTATGAGGAGAAATCCCGAGTGATTTGGCTAGCCAAGTAGCATTCCTTTAACAACAAATTACTGTAGTGATGAATATTGAACAAGCAAACCCCAGTGGCTAGTCTAGATCCATAATATAAGGAAGATAATTTCCAAATGGAGATATCATCATCGTGATAATAAGAAGATAGCGAGAGTTCTCATAAACAAGGATATGACTTAGAATATGAGGATCTTGAGCCTTCTTTCAAAGGACCACATCAACCTGTGAAGCTAAGAACTAAAATTCATATTCTATCTTTGAGGGGATGGGAGCTAAAATTGACACCTTACTTTTGATGCTTATATTAATGTGAATATGCTAGATGCATGGGAGGATCAATTGAAAAAAAAAAATCAATCTCTATGGATATTCTTCCTAAGAAATGATTTCTTTCACTACACTTAAACTTACCAAGCATGCATTGACTTAATGAAATGCCCATCTTCAATATGGGTTGCAAAACATTATCTTGTCATAGTTGAAAAAAATGCAAGATAGGAATTCTACCCAATAGAGTAAAAAGAAAAAAGAGGGAGGAAGAAACACCGGTTACTTCAATGACAAGAATGAAGGACCATACCTTAGAGTTTAAGAGGCAACACTAGATGATTGGTGCATCACTTAGGCACGTGCCCATACTGATAAAGTACACAACGAGGTTGCAGTAAAACATCTCCAAAGAAAACGAGGTTGCACTAAAACATCTCCAAAGAAATCTTAATCATCTTTGTCAAAGGCCTCGCTCAAACAAGCATGTTTGTTACGGCAATCGATAGGAAGAATGAGAACAAATGGGGTAAGCCTCCTACCAAGAAAAAGGGAGGGGAAATAAAGGTTGTTGAGAAGTGGAATCAAATGGATTCTGATAAAGGAAAAAACGAAAACCTGTTCTTCTTGAAGAGACAACCTCTGTTATGATGACTTCCATATCATGGTATATGGTGGAGGTAAATGTTAGAAAGTTCGTTTGAAACTCTTATACAAGAAGTGAATACCATTAAAAGTAAAAAGGTGTTTTCCATTGTGGAAAGGAACCAAGTTTTAAGTCAATAAATTAGCCAAACTTAAATATTTTCTTGATGCCAATGCAAAAAGGAAAGAGCCGAGTACAACAGATGACTTCAACGAATGTGAATAACTTTTCACCCTGTGGATCCAAGTAAAGCAGGAGGTGGCTAGCGTCATCTACAACTGAAGGAGTTAGAAAACTAATCTAGATGAATATAGTACAAGAGTCTATCTTGAGATGGCTCTTTATCCACAGCTATACCCACTCAGATATATTCAAAAGAAGTCTGAGATTGTGATTGTAAATAGTATTGCATTTGCTGTGCCATCACTCAATTGACGAGGTGTTATGTGACGTGATTCTTCTTGATATCTACCATATTATATTCAGAAGCCTATATCTATGGGATCAAGACGTTTTCTATAAAAGGGCACATCAACACCGTCTCTATTAAAAAGTTGTAAGGTACACTGCCATTAAGACTTAAGAGCAAGAGTTGTCAATATCTAAGTATAGTGGTGGTCTTCCTCTTTATAATTTGTCTATTATCTTATTAATGAAATCTAAATGCTTCTTGCTCCAAACATAAGAATCCATATTATCCTACCTCACTACGTTGACAAATGTTCAACATGTCCATCGGACTCTCTATGGTGTCTTGTCTGGCCAACGACTCAGATTAAGAAGTAGCAAAGGTAGCATCACTAAAAAAAACGGGTTTATTTTATAAAAGAGCAATTTAATCTTCAAAATTAGCAAAAGCATATAAAATTTAAAAAGGAGCAAATTTGTCAAATAAAATAGCGCATTCAAAATACGCCAAAAGAAATAGGGCATTCTGAATTCGCTATTTTATTTGGCGCATTCACCTCAAACAAGAGAGAGAAATAGAGCTAGAGAGAGAGAAATGATAAAAATCAAATAATTAGCCAAAACTTTTGGCTTATTCTCATTAGGATGAGAGAGAGAAGCAAGAGAGAGAGAGAGAGGTGGGAGAGAGAGAGAGAGAGGCGGGAGAGAGAGAGGGAAAGAGGGCAGGAGAGAATTTTTTTGTTTTTTTTGTTTTTATAATTTTAAAGAAAAAGTTTGAATAAAATTTTATAAGATAAAAAATCTCTCTCCCCTTATCTCTCTCTTCCGCCTCTCTCTCATTCTAAGGAGAAAATGCCAATTTTTTTGGCTAATTCTTTAATTTTTGTCATTTTTCTCTCTCTAGCTTTATTTCTCTTTTCTTTTTGAGCTGAATCCGCCAAATCAAATAGCGTAATCAGAATGCCCCATTTCTTTTGGCATATACTGAATGAGCTATTTTATTTGACAAATTTGTTCCTTTTTAAATTTTATATTAAATATGCTTCTTTTGCTAATTTTAAAGATTAAACTGCTCCTTTATAAAATAAACCCAAAAAAAATCCTTTTTCTTTGAACTATTACTATTAAAATGTTGATCATGCTTTGTCATTCCTGGTTTAAGATCCTTTTTTATTGAAAGCATATATCTAAGCTACAAAATTTGAGTTGGTGTAAAAATAGCTTTAAAGGAGAACAATGGGATAATTTTAACAAATAAGCACTTAAAAAATTAAAAGTAAAAAATATAACCAATGTTTTCCGTGGAAAAAATATAGCTCATCAAACAGTCAAGCTTATTAGTGAAGAGAATAATTGTGAAAACGAGGTGCAAAAACATACTGATTTTCGTGCCATCTCTTTTGCAACCATAGTCTTCCCAGTACCTGGTGGTCCAAAGAAAAGCATATTACGGAAAGGTGCTTGATGAGACTTTGTGTTCTCTGTAGCTCTGGCAAGTAGCTCAATCCTCTTCTTTAGTGATGGGTTGAGAATAATATTGTCAAAGCTTGTTTTGTTTCTCATAGAAACCAAATCCTTATTTGACGCACCATAACTCTCTATCTTCTTTAAAAATTTAGACATAATTCCTGACCATGGAAACTTCGCTATGGAAGATTCCCTAATCAGTGATGGCTGGCCCAACAATCTATTGACATAACCCCACATTACCCTTGCACCTTCCCTGAAAGAATCAAAGGACAAAATAAAACCCATAGAATAAACTAATTAAAGCAAACCTAGAACTAAAAAGTGACAATTTCATAGTTTAACTTCTTTACTGTATGGATATACCTAGTAGTATAAACGCCAGCAGCAAGCGCAGTTACCCCACCAACAGCCATGATCATTTTACTCTGATCAGTCAACAACATTTTCAATCCACCTGTAGATCCCCGGAAACAAATATATAAACAAAAACATTCTCTTTCAATGGAATAAAGTAGACAACAATATTTCAAATTTGTTACAGAATGAAAATAAATTGGCATGATTTAAATACGTTGCTAATAACCTTATAACAAATCATACAGATCTAGTTCCCACAAATGAAATAGCAATTGCACTCATTAAAGAATACATCATCATGACTAAAGACCACATGCTCCCAAAACTTACCATAAAAATGAAACTGGCATAACAAAATGTGGAATAGCTAAAGCAAATTTTAGGTGCGTTAGAGTGACAAACAAGAAAATAATTAGCATGTAGAAAAATTATAAATATAACTTCAATAGAATGGTTAATGACATGAAGTAAAATGGTAGGGCAGTCATTTAATCCAGTAATCATCAATGAATTAAAAATCTGAATGCCGGACATCAAAAGCATCTAAAAAACATTGGTTGACCAAATAATAGTAAACAATTATTCAAATTTATAAATAATGAAAGTAAGGAAGTAAGTAGTGTAGCATCTAATGATGAAGGGTGTACAAATCCATGAAGCTCCCAATGATGCGGGGTTCTGGAAGGGGGTTAATGTCATAACCTTAATCTTGCATTATAGAGGATATTTTCATGACTCAAATTTTCACTGCTAGGTCATAATGAAGGTTTCCCTCTAGCATTTAACCATAAATGCTTTTAGCTAACTAACAGGTTTTAACAGGAATGAAAGGAAAAAATATTGATAACCCTATCATGTACCCAGTGAACATAACAACAAACTAATGAATTACAATACATGACCCGGATAAGGACATCGGCATCAATGCCTCATTAGTAGCATCTAATGCTCCATGTAAGATTAATGCACTTAATACAGAAGAACTTTAATGTAATGTGGCACAATACCTTCAATATGACTAAAAGTTGCGTTAATTGAAGCCAACCATTTATCCCTTTCTCCATTCATGCGTTCTAACAGCATCCTCTTGTTATATTCTTCCGTTAATTTTGCCTCATGAGCACGACCTTCAGCCTCTGCCATAGCTTTTACTCTAATTGTTTCACGCTCTATTTCAGCTCGCTCTTTCTCAGTTTCACGTTGTTGAGCTTGAATCTGTTCTTCTGCAGCACGTCTTGCTTGTTCTTTCCTAGTAGAGGATTCCTCTTGCATTTTGACTAGCTCAGCATTCTGTTGCCTATGAGCTTCATGCTCTGTCTGCCATTACAATTGGCATTGTGAACTAAATGCTAAGAATCACCCATATAAAAACTATCAAAATATCATATGCATGTAGAATTAGAGTTAAGCCAACTACCTGCATTCTTTTTCTAGCTAGCTCATCTTCATAGCGTGCCATTTGGGCTTTGGTCTGGGCTTGTTGTTGAATAAGATTCCTTTGCTCCTCTGCCAGCTTCTGCTGCTTCTCCTGCCAATTGAAAATTCTCTTTTAATTAACTACAGAGTAACTATGATCAGTAGAACATCTTTACTCTCTTTCTTTTATATATATATATATATATATATACATACTACTAGGGGATTGGATTTTGGTTTTTACAAATTTCTCATGAAGCTAAAGACAAAATACCTGATGTTTCTAGTAGCTTAGGCAATTGCAAGAATTGCGAGGACCATGCCAGATGCTTGATGCTGCTATAACAGACCATGGGTTTCTAATGTTGTTAAAAGGGATGCCAGATCTTGATCAGATGACAATTTGGCTGGAGAAATCTTGTTACTCTTAGGCAAACTAGCAGCCCATATAAGCTTCCTTGCAAGCTTACAACCTCACAATCAAGTCAGGTTGTAAATAAATGAGTCAAACTAAGTGCTATTTTTCTGTTGACCTATATGCAAAGAACAAAAGAGAGGAATGCAGAAATCTCACATACCCATCGGATCTGCAAATTTCTCCCGAATATCCGCTCAAATCTTGGAAGAAAGTCACTGCCTGTACCCAAAAATCACGCTTGAATCTCGGAGTCGTACAGAAATCCCGCCGAGGCACTGTATATTCGGCGTCGTTCCGGGATTTGCTCGCCACGATCGCATGCCTCTTGCATCTATAAAATGAGAGCAAAGTGAAGACTTGGGATCTTCTTCCTTCGGCAGACCTTCCACACACGCGAACTCCTCCCTTTCACGAGCTTCTGCGACCGAATCCCCCAACCCGACGCTTCCACACACACACACACGCACACACACAGAGATCAAATCCTTACCTCACTCACGGGTGCCCGCCGAACTCCCTCCTCCAATCTCCATCCAGCCCCGATCTCCCATCTTCGACTTCAAGCCCCCAATCGCAAGCCCAGGTCGACCAAACCTCTGCCCTAGCTCCGACTTCCACCCTCCCTCGACGACATCCCTTCTCTGCTAGTTAGATCAGAAGTTATAACATTTTGATCGGAGGCAAAATCGGGAGCTCGCACTGTAAAGGTAACTTGATCCCTCACGCAAGCTTCTTTGGCCAAAACCCGTGAACATCAACAGAGGGGAGGGGAGGATATTTTTTTTAAATATTATAATTATTAGTATTTATAATTAATTATTAATTAATATAATTAATTAACTAAATATAATTAATTAATGATTAGTTATAATTATTTATGTAATTATAATTAATTATTAATTAATTATAAATATAATTAATAAATTAATTATAATTATTTAATTAATTATGATTAATCATTATTAATTATAATTAATTACTTATTAATTATAATTGTTACTTAATTATAATTCATTATTATTGATTTATTAATTATAATTTAATTATAATTAAGATGAAATCCCCTTCCCTCCTCTTGCCTCGATCCGTGTGCCAACGCCAGCCCCGCGCAGGTATAAACCTTTAACCTTAAAACTCGAGAGCCCACTTTCGTTGTTTGCGGCGGACCGAAAAACCGACCATACACGCCTTTATTTTGCGTGGTGGGATGGGAACCCGGTGCGTCGCCTACGACGGACGGGTAATCACCTAAAAACCCTATGTCAATGTTCGTGGTGGACCGAAAAATCACCCATGCATGCCTTTATTGTGCGTGGTGGGATAGGACCCCGGTGCGGCACCTACGGTGAGGCGGGGTCACTCATAAGTACCTCCGAGCGGGGGGAAAGAAAACTGTCTTTTTAAACAGGTACCGTCAAAGACCCCATACACGCCTTTATTCCGCATGGTAGGAACAAAGTTCACGACCGCAGTGTCCTCGTCTGAGGACACCTACCATACACGTCTTTATTGCGCGTGGTGGGAAGGCCCAGTTTCTCGTAGTTTTCCCCTAAATGGGGGAGACGCCGGGAGGCTGCCGAAATTTTGGGTGAAGACGAGACTGTACATGGACTCATTCGAACTCAATAGTGGACTCGGACTTGTGAACTTTAATGCAATAAACTCAAATCTAAAACAAATCCAAACTTAAATAAATCATAAGGACTTGAATTTGATTTTGAATGTCAAGTGAACTATAACTTAAGCATGACTCAAGGAGCTAAGAATTGAACATCAAATGAACTTGAGTCAAACTTGCACATGATTTGAATATTTGAACTCAAGTAAGGACTTGAGTTGGACCACATGAGACAAGGCTTGAGCTTTATGAGACAGCATGGAACTCATTTGCTTGAGCTTTATGAGACAGCATGGAACTCATTTCTAAATCAAGTGATCAATGATTTAAAATCAAACTTGAATCAAATAGTAAGTCTTGGACCCAAGTGAGCAAATACAAAGGATGCGCTTGAACTCAAACTCAAATGAAAAGTAGAGGACTTAAACACTCATAAAGATTTAAATAGTTTGAATTTGAGCAAAAGCTCAATGTAACTACAAGGGACATAGAACTTGAATTTGATGCAAGAAATTTGTAAGACTTGAATCATATGCAGAATAACACAAATGGAAATCGTGGCAAATTGAGAACTTACAAATGCCACTTATTCATAAATGATGGGAAATTCTATATAATTGAGTTACTTGAGATAAACAATGAATGATAAAGAGATGCATTCATGACAAAATAGAACTTAATTGGAATTGAACTCGAGCAAAGAGTTTATACTTTGATTGCAAAGGACTTGAACCCGAATTCAGAAGGGAACTACAATGAGCCTGAACCGAACTAGAACTTGAACTTCAGGAGACTTGAATAATCTATAAAGAGCATGAAATGATTGTAACATCCTACATACAAGTGGAGAAATTTGGCATGCAAGCAAATATATCAGTCTCTTATAAGCACAAGGAAATTGGCACAAAAGTGAATGTGGCAAGTGGGCGGCTAATACATGTGAAGCAATCAACAATGAACACAATCAACCTGATGGTCAATAACGATCTGCTTATAGACACATCGACCTCTTTTGGATTATTGAAATTTATATGTCATGAATTCAACGAGTCACTAGCAAACATGAATGAGAAGGTCGTAATGAGTTTAACCCATCTACGAGTCATTCATATAAGCAAATACATCTCTCCCCTACGAGCAAAATGATTCAATATGTAATGAACGTTATAACACTCCTACGATCAACAATAAAGCAATGTTAAGCAAATATACTAGCTTCTTATAAGCAAGAGTATATAGTATATGACAAAGTGCAAATATTTATGAGGTCGTAAAAGATTCATCATATGCACTATATCACATTTACAAGTAAATGTTGGATGAAATGTAACAAATGCAAGTATCTACGGGCCACTGTAGAAGACTCCTAGTAACCCAGTCTATTGTCCACGAGCAATATACAAAGTGACTATATCAAGTGACTATATCAAGTGCAAGTGAGAAATTCATCATGCATACAATAAGCTATCTACGAGCATCTATAAATACAAAGCAGGAGATTCGTTGGTGCACTATAATCCAACTGCAGAAAGCAACATGTAGTGCACGACGGTCTACCTGTATGAAGCAGCGAACAACTCTATTCAGAAGCTGCTACGCTACGCCACCAGATCCGCAACATCATTGCAAGCGGACCTAAGGCGTTCACAAATATTTCAAAATACCCTTGCACGTGCACCATTAATTTGTATACACATAGGTACACTAAAGGGGAAAAAACAATCTCAACCCGCATGGGACCCGGCGAGGGTGTTATTGGTATACACGTGACGTCTAGGGATGCTGCGCGGGTCGATAAGTGAATTCAAGTTCGAACCCGATCCTTCTATGCCAATCAATAGGAGTCGGCAGGGTTCGAACCTTCAAATAAATACACGGTTGTGGAGACCGGTGTATTTATTTTAATACATTCATATTAGGTCTTCAAAGCCTATAATCAAGAGAATTCACTAATAAAGGCACAGAGCCTACGAGAAACCCGATCCTCAGTCAACAGCTTGGTCGAGTTGACAAGGTTCAGTACATAAATGAAAATGCCCCCAAGCACCCCGCTGATGACCGTGTTGAATGCAAATCTCAACCAGAGGGGTTCACAAATATTTTCAAACTCCACACAAATACCCAAAAAAATCCAAAAATTCCAAAATTCCAAAAAGATCATCCAAATCCCAGATATTTAAAATGTGAAAATAAATTCATCAAACCACTTAAAGTAAAATCCATCCGCCCTCCGCAACAATTTGTCGAGGTAGACAAATTAAAATTTACTTTAGCTCACAAAGAGACAAATGCCTAGTCAAAAATATCACTATGATCCATTCTCAAACAACCTCCTGACAGTAAGGACGTGGTACGCGTCCTCTAACCGGCGGTTTTGCCGCCAAATGGCATCGCAGGATAAACGGTTATGACCTGGGGCCCTCTGAACATAGTGGTTTTGCCGCCAAATGACACCACGAAATACCGGTTATGGCCAGAGCCAATACGCTCCTTAATGGCATCAAATCCTTGAGATATGAATCAATAGGATATAATCGATAGGGCACAAAGCCCTTTGTTAGCTAAGGTGAATTCAAATTTGTCCCCTTAGGCAAATATCCAACCTAGTTCTACAAAGTCCCCTTGGACGAAGCAACCCATGGCTGCCGACAAGGATCCTTCTGTCAGGTTGGGCCGACTACCTCCTCTGACTAAGTAGACCATGGACCACAATGGCCCAGGACGACGGAACCATGGGATCTTGATCGGTTTTATCATCCATTCCCCCACCATCTGCTTTAAGTGCAAGATTCTGCAATTTCCAATTTTAAATATCAAATTTTCAAATCTGCAAATCCTCTAACCATTCCAAATACCAATGCTGCTACTATATGCCAGATAACACATATTCTATACGTATCTGATTGACGACTAGCCTTAATCGAAAGTTCTCTCTCGTTAGTGGGAGGGGTAATTAACTATAGGGGCTTACGCTTATAGGAAACCAGAACTCATATCATAAAGTCCTCGCAAAATGAGGGTGAAATCTCTGGATAGTGTCTTATCTACAAACCCATCTGCCTTCCAAAATTTACCCCGGAATTTATTCCGTTAAAACTCCCTTGTCGAAGATAAAAATAAACAATCGAACGGGCGAAGGCCGAGGCCGAATTTTTGGAGCCCACATTTTCATGCACATTTATTTATTTTTGCATAGAGTTTGAGCTGAGCTTAAATATGACCAGAGATTTAAAACTTTATTCAAACTTGTTTGTTTATTTCATTTTCTTATCAAGTTTGAGTTATAATCAAGTTTTAATGGCATATGATTAATTATATATTTCATGATAATGATGTAAACATATAATCATATTACTAGACATAAATGAATTTATTTATTTATAATTAAAATTAGAATCATTTAAAAGACACAAAATATGTCATCAAATACACAATTAAGTAATCATTAACTAATTATTTTATTATATCTTAGCGAGTTATTTGTGAGACAATAAACAAGCATTTTAACAAAAATTAATGAACCAAGAGGTCAATGCTCAACCTTGTTCATTTAGACGTCACTTATAATTTATTCAAGCTTATCAATAATTTAAATCAACAGATGTAATTGAGGATTCGTTTGGGAAAACTTTCTTCCTGCTTCTTAAAGCGACTTTTTAGTACAAAAATAATTTTTTTTACTAGAAAGTCGCTTTAAGAAGCAATAAAAAAGCCATCCCAAACGAAGCCTAAGTCTTATATGAATGAGCACCAAGTTGTTCATCAATTACACTAGTCCGCTTCTAGCCCTACAAACAAGAGTTTCTAGCCAAAGTACAGATGGCTAATGGGTGCTAAAAAAGAGTAGGTTGGACAACACTTGATCAGTTATCATAGGGTGGCCAGTTTAAGCCCATTGGAAGCATCAAGAATTCCATAAATCATTAAGGGCTCACAATGGAACTCTGACTTAAGATGATGGTAAGAAAAGTGAGGAGTATATTCTATTGTAGGGATGCACCTATCATTATGACATAAAAGTAAATATTCTAGCCAAGGGTAAAGTCCATTATTACAATGTTCATTACAAAGCTCTCAAATAAATCCCTAAATGTCTATTACAAAAATTATGGATAATATAGTATCGATCCTAAGAAGAATATCTAGAAGGAGATGCAGCATAGAGCAAAGACTTGTCAGTTTGAGAAGTCTACGGTGGAACCAAAATGTTGGCGCTGAAGGAGGCAAACTAGCTAGCCCAACTCACATGTAAGATGGCAAGTTAACAAGGTAACGCTCAATAGCGGGTCAAACAGATCCAAACTCTTCAATATAAATCTCTTTCAGTGAATTAATGCAGACTAGAATATTTAATTTTGTTTACATAATGAGAATAAGTTGGCTTGATTTGAATAGTTTGCTAATAATCATATGATAAATAATACAGACTAATTGTTTCCTGAGACTTGAATAATGCTTGAATTATAAAAATGGATGATTTCTAATGAATTATGATAAATATAATTTTTAATGAATTCATTTATATGCATTTGATGCGCATGGATATAAACTATTGCTTCAAAAGACTAAAAAAATTAAATGAAGCTTATATGAAACTCCTAAAGCAAAGAACACTCACAATATCAGCCTGCGTCTGAATTGCTAGATGCCTAGCCTTCTCAACCGCAATCTCCGCCAAACGACTCTCCTCTTGCTTCCTCATCAGCTCAAAAACCTAAACCTCAACAATCAAAACAACCACAAACCAAATCAAGCAAGCAAAGTTCACAACATACGAAATAAAACCTCAGGTTGGCATAAGATCAAACACCTGCGAGGCATAAGGCGAGCCGTTGATTTCCCGCAGGGCTTTCGCCCCTCGCTCCAGCGATTCCGGGTCGAACCCTCCAGAAGAAGAAGATGATGCCGCGGATGCCGAGGACGAGCCATCGGTGACAGGAGGTGAAGGAGAGGACAGAAACGGGAAGCGGAAGGCGCTATCGGCGTAGGCAAGCGAGGTGAGGGATGCTGCCGCGGCCGCCGCCGCCGCTGCAGCGATGGAGGGAGATGATGGGAATGGTGGCATCGAGGAAGCCGGGAAAAGCGTATCACAAGCCCGCCCCGAGAGAAGATGGCGCTAGCTCAAGTTTCAAGAGCTAGCTTACTGGCTGGCTCATTATTGGGTCAGGTCACTAGATACAGCTTATATTTGATATTCACACTATTGAGCATTATTGAGCTCGGTAATGTAAAGTACTAAGTACCGAGCTCGGTACTGTTTTGTACTGACGCATTTTCATTGGGCTCCAAACACGTCTGGTGACCTGACCCAATAATTTCCCCAAGCTCCCATAGCAACTTCACGTGTGCTTCTCGAGTGAGCCCCTACCAAGCTTTAGTTGATCTCTCAAGCTTAGGAGTTAAAAAGGACAAGCCAAGCTATTTATTGGGCTCGACCCGAATTCGAGCCAACCTTAAATTTGTTATGATTCAAATTTGGCTCAACTCGTTTACAACTCTAATATAGACTTCTTATTTATAGTAATAATATATTATTCTTTCAAAGAATTAAGATATTTGTTTTTTTAAATATAGTAGAAAATTTAATTTAATTAATGTTTTATAATCATCACAAAATTTGTTATCTATTGATAAAACATATAGATTTAGTTTCACTCTTACAATTACTCACAATTTCTATGAATATACTTATTATTACTTTAAATATAATTCTCAAAATATTAGGTTTAATTTAAATTATTTGAATATTGTTTTAAATAATAAACAATATTACTTAAAATTTTAGAACAATCATTCACTAATTTTCAGCAAACAATCAACTAAGAACCACATTCCAATTTTAAATGATCATATTAATTATTTAAAGAATCACATTTAAAAAAGCTGTAATGTTAACTATTAATTTATAATACATTCAAAATAATATCAACCAAGTTAAAAACAGTAGAATTAACCCTTAATTTGGACTAAAATAAATAAATATTGCTAGTCAATGAACAATAAAATTGTAGCGGGCTAAAATATACACGGCGATAGAGTTAGATTTTTTCGTCTCAGCGTAGTATGGATATCCACACAAATATAAAACACAATATTTTTTGTGTTTAAAGCCCTGGAAAAGGTAAAAATCACCGGCCAACACTCAATTGAAATGATTTCACTAGTATCTGAATATATTACAAATGATTGATATGTCCTATTGAGGACGATCAGTTTACAACAATCAAATGTCGGGTTGAAATCTAGTGACGAGCGGAGATCAGATGGAAATTCGGCAACGTTCGATGTTAGGGCGGAAGTCCGGCGTCAATCGACGACCGAGCGGAAGTCCGGTGACAGTCGGTGGCCGTGCGAAAATCCAACAGTGGTCGAGGTGGAGTCTAGTGGCAAGATATCTCTAGTTTATTTATGTTCCTTCTCTTCTTTCTCTTCCTTGCTTCAACTCCTCTTCCATGAGGAATGAGGGGTCTATTTATAGTTTAATGACAATAACATGACCAGTAAATATGAGGGAGATTAAAGATAAGTTGTGAGTGGTTTCAATGGACGGTCGATGTTACACTCCTTGATCGTGGTCCGTTTATTAGACATTTGAATATCTTAATCATATCATAATTTGACGATCTTGGATTCGTTGGATTTGTCTCGTCGAGTCGATCGATACTAATATAAGCATGTTATGTTTGAAAATCATTTAGTCATCCAATTTATGATTTGAACTTTCTAAATGAGCTTCGGGTCTTCGATTTGGACTCAATTGGGCTCAAAATGAGTCCAATTTGGTGTCGTTGGGTTCATACTTTCGATATGTTCAGTTCAACTGTAAGTTTGCTGAAACTGAAGTTCATATGGTCCAAATTTTAATTTTTGAAGTTTCTAACTTCCTTTTGCATCAAGATTCGTGCCAATCAAGATTTTTATTTTTTATTTTTTTAGGATATAAGATGAGTCCCAGAAGAGGACCAAAATGTGAAAAGATGAATCATAATCACAGATAATGTTTAAGCAATACTTCACAGTTGGAGCAGAAGCCATTATTGTGCATGATTGAAACCATAACTTATTTCCACATAAATCTAATATGAAAGAACTGAAATCAAAATAATCATATCTGTTAAGTTAGAAGCGCCATCTAATAATCATCTTCACCATCCAAATCTAGCTCGTTAAGAAACCGAACTTTTCTCCCCTCTCTTCTTGGCTCAATTCTTCCACCTTTCTTTAAGATTCCTCTGAGAATTCAATCATAAAATTCACATGATCAATTTTCATCAATATATAACAAAGCTATAAATAGACAAAGGGTCAGTTTGAGATAGCTTTCTTGCAAATTTATTTTTCAAAAAACAGTCATAACTTCATTTGACAACCGCATTCTCTCCGCTTTCTCACACTTCTCACAATTTCTGTGATAAAAATTAGATTTTTACAACTAGAAAAATTAAGTTGTTTTTGCACAGTAACTTAACAACTTATTTTATAAAGCTCTGCAGCCATCCCAAACAGACTCTTAAGTAGTATACAAATAATAAAGTAAGAACACGTTAGCTAGCAATATAAATTTATCATAATTCAGCTTAATTCTTCATGTTGCGTTATGTTAAAATAACTAGGAAATGAACTCACCGTCCACTTGCAGCAAAACCTCCAATCCGGGGACGACCACGTCGATTTGCAGACCTTCCATCTTGTAAAAGTAAAAACAGTGATTTGAATGATTAGTTTTGTAAGGTAAAATGCAAATTCAATGCTCACAATAACTGAACAACTCACCATGACTTGCAGCTGGATGCTGCTCTTTAGCCTGAAAGATGAGCCGAAAAAAACAATAAAAATTTCAAGAAATATGAAACAACATGAATAAGATGAAATAACAATTCTTAAAAAGCTAGATGGATGGGACATACGTACAAACATGCTTGCACAGCTTACATACATACATACATGAATAGTTTACATGTATGCATGTAATATTACACATACATAAATGCACGTAAATATGCACAACTTAATACATACATACATGCCTGCTTTGCTTACAAGCATGCTTATATAATTACATACATACATTCATACACTGCTAGCGCATGCAGGCAAACATTGTATATATACATTACTTATGTGCACATGTGCATACACGCATATATACAAACACGTATGAATTGCTTACATGCAAATATGCATACATTACTTACATATATAAATATGTATATTGCATAAATACATGCTTTGCATATTTGTATGTACACATACATATATTGCTTACATACAAAAATTGCTTGCCTGCATAAGTAACTGCATTGTATATATGCATGCATACATGCATCACATATATACATACATGTATTGCTTATATACATATTACATACATTCATTGCATAAATGGTACGGCTAGTCTATCTTGACCTAGATCATGCAAAACATTAGTATGAGTTGCTTAGTAAAAAAACTGATATATTATAGCTACACAAAATGCTAACACATGGAAACTTCATTTGATTAAATGAATGAAACTTTCAAATAACAAGCTAAAACTATTATTTAAGTAGAAAAAAAAAAAGGAAAGAAAAAAAAGATTAAACTATTATTTTGCTATTATGCATTTTTCCATTTACTCATTTAGACCTATAGCCAAACAACTAGAAAAGTCGATGAAGTTAGTTTCTTTATTAATTTTTATATTTTTTATCCACATAAAAAAAAAATCCTTGAAAGTAAAATGTTACTGTAAAAAATTAACAACCTATTCTTATGGATGTAAAAAAATACAATAATATGAGTGCCAAATAACAGTGATGTAGAAAGGTTGGAGGCCTTTTCCATCCTCTCTCCCTCCAACTCTTACCTTCCCTTCCCTTTGCTCCTTTCAATCTCTGGTCCTATCCTCCTGCACTCTAGCTTTTATTGTCATTTGTTTCTTTCACATTTTATATTGTGAATCTAGTTTATTGTCAATTTCATCTATAATAGTTATTACTAAGGTTAAATCAGATATTAAAACTAACAAAATATATAACTCGTTTAATCAATATAGACTCAAACATTTTCAAAAAAGAGCAAAGGTCATTGTTAATGCTAGACTGTGATATAAAGAAGTGTTATTCTCGCTCCTTTTTAAAAGTTCAGCTTTGATCCATGAGATGTTTCTACTACTAATGGCATTGTTTTATACTAGTTGTCCTCAAGAAAGTGGTGGTATCATTATTATGCTTTTGTAATTTTATATGTGCCAAATTTTTTTAACGAAAAGAGTGCGATTTCACCAAAAAGTTCTAATTTTTGCTTGCATTTTATAAAGTGATGAAAATGAAACAGGTCAAAAAAGAAATGCTCATAAATTTCAACCAACTTGTCGGTAAATATCAACCCTCATAACTTACTCTTGTTACTTTCTTTGCAGATAAGATGTACTTACAACCATCAAAACATGGTAGATACAATATCATATAATTTGACTAAATGCTTACATTAAGAGTCTGTTTGAGAAACTTTTTTCATTTCTTTATTTTTCAAACCATTGCCACATGTCTGTTTGGCTATCCTTTCTTCTTGTTTTTTTCAAAAAGTTTCATAGTTAGAAATACCATATCTACCAGACTATGATAGCTTCAAAACAGCTTATGTTCGACGTTTTCAAAAGGAAAAATATAATATCTAAAATAGATTTAAGAAAAATATGATGCGTGTCTCGCAACAATTCTACAACTATTTTTGCAAACAATTACAATAACACCCTAATGAATCCTACAACTAACATGAGTGAAAATGATGAGGATTATCCTAGAACAAGCCATAATGTGTGAGTTGCATTACAGGGATGATTGTTTAGTAGCCATGGTGTATTGTCTCAAAACTATATAGATAATGAGTAATTTTACCAATTTATCAGTCCTCTACCGATAAAGAAGCAAAAGTGTTACCTATTACAAAAACTTACATCCAATTAAAGACAATGATATGAAAAGTATATCCTAGGCAACTATAAAAAGGATAATGAAAGAATCATTCAAAGACAAATTTCACTTAAAATAAATAAGATTTAGCAGTACATATTAAAAAAGGCTATCGAATGGTACATATTTAGCAAAGAGTGTGTTCCACAATGATATCCAAAATTCTATATGCATCTCTTTCTAATATACTTGTAAGATACATACACCAGGTG